CACGACCAATCCTTTAATTTACTTAATCTGCATATAATTTTTTGGCATTTTCACGATTGCATTAAGGGTAGATGGGAGGGGGTAAAAAATTTCTCTTCTCGCGCGTGCTGTGTTGTTAGATCAAAACAGCTAAAAGGCTATTATTATGAAGCCAGGGCAACTTAGAGTTCGTAAGTTTTGTATTGTCCGGAACGTTCTTTGTAGACACAACTGTATCGCAATGGTTGAATTTGAAATAAAGCACTCAAGTTTCTTGTGCTAAGTCGTTGAAAAATTCCAGCAGGGCTGAAGGATTTTGTGGTGTAATACTTAAACCTCTAGGGCGCCAAATCACTTTGTAGTGGGAAAGAAATATCTGGCCCCACCCTTTTTCTCCTTAGTTAGATAGCGCCACTCATAATCCTTATTCGGATTTAAGCTGACGACTGACTTTTATTAAACTTTGTCCAGACCCTCATCTGAGAAGGCGTTACAACAGAAGAAATGTATAGTATTGGGGGTAGTCAATATTTAATGATACAAGGAGAAACTCCTACAATAATAATGTTTTGCACCAGGTCAATAGAAATTGGTTTACATAAAATGTACGTATTGTTTGCCTTAAGAATTTAAGAGGGAAGGTAATCTTTTTCTATCGTTTACATAAGGGGTAACAGGAAAACCTTTGTACAATTTTGCAGTGAATAAATGGTAGTAACAACATGAAAATACTCTCACAAGTCCTTATTTTCCCGGGTTTAAAATGTCAGTTTCTACGACACATGTCATACCAACCAGCGCATCACGATTCCTACTAAATCCCGTTAGTTAAACCAAACTTTACTGATCACAGGTAATCAGGACGGCATGGTAATTAGAGCAAGGCGAAATAAGAGATTTTATAAGCAGGAAAATATCTCCGTTCGAGCCTTTTTAAACTTTGTATGGAACTTAGAATAGGCACATGCTCTGTTAATAGACAAACCACTATCATTTAACCAAGGAATTTAAAATCCACGCATATTTACACCATTGCACTGCCTTCTCTCAAATCGCATGATTCCTTAATTAAGTACTTTTAAAAACATCCACACAACCCACAGTCCTCTCCTTCGCTTTGGTGGAAGGCGAACTTTTGAAATGTCAGCTGTTCAAAATCTATTACTGTAGTCTGTCTGCGCCTGTCACAAGCGAAAGGAGCTGAATATAGGTCCCTATTTTTTTTTAAAATTGTTTTTATACAGGCTTTAGTTGAAATTTCTATAATAAAACTTTTACAGTCTTATCAGGTCAAAAACATTAAATATGATTTCATCTTACTTTAGTGAAGTGTTTCAAGATTTTGCCAGTTGTCAATTCCATAGCTAACATTTCAGACGCGTAACTAGTTTTAAGAACGAGTCAACTGGCCACCATATATACCACAAGTGCCTGAGGTTAGGTCTTTAGTAATAAAAACAAGTGATTTTTTGATTGTCTAGAGTCAGAGAGTCTCATAAGAAGTTTGAAAATTTCATGTGCACCATGGCTTAATTGCATAAACTTATCTAACGACTTAGGGACTAAACATCCCTACATCACCTTTTCCAGCCAAATTTAAAACATGAGGCATTATCTCTTGAGTTTGGAAGCTCTTATTATGAAGAAATAAACAATATCAATTTCAGCTCTCACATATTGAGTTTCAGCTTATAAGAGACATTTATTTAACTTAACAATATAGAACTCACTTATTTATAACAATGATTGCCGACCGAAAAAGTCGATCTAGAATCTATTTAAGATACATTTCCAACAAGGTCAGAACATGTTGATACTAGTTTTTAGATAAAGAAATCAGTTTGTTTAGGGAAAAAAAGACAAAAGAAATTCTGTGATCAGAAATGATCCCCGTCGTCTGAAATTAAATATCTGCGCACTTTATGATCTCAAATATTAGTAGAACTGGATAAAATATAAAACTGTAGGGGAAATATCATTTTTGTAATTAGCCATGGTAAGAAAGCAAGGAAGGTGCCAAATAAAACATTCAGTACGTTTTTGCGAATCAATGTGGAAACAACTTTCAAATATAAGAGAAAAAACGAACAAACGACAAGAAAGTGGATAAAATTAGAAAATAAATGAAAGAAAAAACCCTTACAGCTGAAGAGGACACATTGTAACCGCACCACGTCCAAAGTGATTGGGCGATGAGGGCAAAGTATCGGTTGGTACTCAAAATATTGAAATGCAAGCTCTAATATTGGGAAATGATGGCGGCATTACTAATATTTGCAGAACTCAAGTAAGTCCTTGTATTCCAGTAATGATACCAGTATAATACTTTGACGATAGTACACGTAATGACAAATAGAGATAATGATAAAGCTGACAAAGATAAAAGCAAGTGAACACGAAAATCAACACATCTGGCGAAATGAGAACCGAGCTTTCAGGCACGTTGTTGTACTAAGATAATAAAAAGACTCTAAATGGAGCTTGGACATTTGCCCTTCGTTATCCGGCATTGCCGGTAGAGTGTTTACATCGTATACCGGAAGGAACAAGCTGGCGAATTGCTTTAACGCGGTTCTTATGTTGGGATCTTCATTCAAAACATACAATATACATTTTTTTTAAAGTGGTGGTCATCATCAAGATTATGGAAACTGAAAGCAGACAAGTATGTCTGCTATTACAAAAGTATCTACCATTTTAATGCAATTTTCTGAGCTTGAAAAAAATTATATATATTTTCTCTTTGCCGTTCCTAAATAAAATTATTTCTGAAAATGAGAATAAAAAAGAGTAACATCAAAACTAATAAAAAAACAAAGTTAACAAATAAGTTATATATATAACTACCGGCCACTTTTGAAGTTTCTTAACTTACCGATAGAATATTTTACATTTCCTCCAGCATTTTCGCGAATATAATTTCTGTTGAGTCTCTAACTCTTTTGTTTCAGTCAACAATCAATATAAAATCTCATAAATATCACGCTACTGAAAATCATTATCACGTGGTGGTGTTTGTACATTTCAATACCCCATGATAAGCGTATAAATATCCCTGATCTCTAGAATTCGCAGGACGCTCCAAACACGGGCTAGGAAGCTTAACCCTTCAGGAAAGGCCAAAAACGAACCTCGGTAAGTAACAGATTTTCTTTACGAAAACGGATTTATTTTATGATTGTCAATGATGGATCTTTTGTTTTTCCTATGCCGTCATGTTCGAGTTCTTGCAAAGACTTTCAATGTTTTGCGAAAAAAGTTTAAGAAACCACGAGAATATGTTTCATATTAAAATAAGGAACCTTAAGCTAAACCACAACGGCGACAGCAACGAGAACGCGGCAAAACAAAAATGTAATTAGCAGAACAGTAGCTCAGCACGCACGTTTTTAAGGAAAACTTTGTGCATTTTTTAGCTGTCCTCTGCAAAACAATAACTTGAAATCGCCAAAATTTGCGTCATCCACCAACAGAAACCGCGACGGTAAATTATTTAAACTTCCATTTGGAACTCAATGCTGCTTGCTTACCTAATGCTGAAGTTGACAGTAAGATGCGGTAAACACATGCAGCCATTTGCGAAATTCTCACTAAAAATAGAAATAGTTTTTAATCGACGTCTTCCTCGGCGTTGCTGTCCTACCTGTTTACAATGAAATTATAACAAGAAAACTGTCGAGCTTTTTCTAAAGCTCGTTTCTATTGAGTGCTGCAAAATTAAAGTCACAATAAGCCATTTGGTTGCAGATAGATATCACTAGGAACTAACCAGAACTTAAAGGAATACACGCAAACTGCATGTAGTTGAAGGAGTGCCCTAGTCGTGATTAGTTTTTGTAATGGAGGGTCTTCGCAGCTGACTCATTGGGAGGAAAGTAGAGCAAATTCAATGCCTTATTACTTTCGAGACTCAACTGGAAATTTGCTCACTTATTATGTATTTACAAGTACTACTCGTATCTTATTCAAGGAGGCAACTACCACACTGAAATGTTGCGATCACTTTGTTGTTCTTCCTCAAGCTTGCTATATATATACTGCAGAGATGTTACTGGTGCTACTTCTGTCCATGTTTAGTGCAGTATCAAGTCAAGATTGTCCACCAGGTGAGTAAACCTTAAATCTGAGTTACAAATAAATGATAAACACTTCCACTAAAAACTCAGTTTAGGGCAACAGCTGGGACTGGAAAAAGAACAACTGGATTGTGTGTGCATTAGGCGTCCTATTTATACATACCATTACTGAAAGGGTTTTCAATTTTTAAAAGCGTATGTAAGATTTTACTGTTATTCTTAAGTTCTTTATATTTTTGAAGTGTTTTCCAATTATGTTAATATTTGGGAAGTTATTTAGTATTTTCTACCCACGTACGTGATTTGTTACTAATGCAAATATAATTTTTTGATTTTTGAAAGTGTGTTTTGCCTTTGAACCACCATACTGAGACGAATATCTCTGAGTATTCAAGTTTTCCACAATCTTGTCGGCAGATAGTTGTTATGTTGATACATTCAATTCCTTCCTAGCCTTATCATTAGCGTTAAATAATTAAACAATTAATTAGAAGAACATACATTCCTTATCAAGCGTTTACAATCAGTATTTCATTTCGCCGCTTTATTGCAGTGCCAGAGGAAGAACACTTTAGCTACGGAAAGACTAAAGGAGACGGTACTTCTCTTTTGTGTGTTAATTTTTTCTTTAGAAATGTGTTTCTTGGCCACGGGCATGCATCTATGTCTCGCAGATTTCTACCCCACTCTCCCAATGAATGTTTTAAACTGAGTCCTTATATCAACAGCATTGATGCATTTATATTTTTATTGTGCTTTACTACGAGGAATAGTCAGAACCCCTTTTCAAACGATATTAGTAAAACTATTTTGTAATAGTTTACTCTTTGGTTCGATCTTTAATCTGGAAGATTTAAGGGACCATAATCTCGTTTGTGTGTAAACTTACCAATGAGGCATTTCGAGGGATGTTTTTTCTCTAATTGACGATATCAAGTTATCGCTTTAGCCTTCTATTTAGTGATGATCTTGTTGATTCATATAAATAAGATGAAACCGAAAACAAAGCTTAATTTCTCCGTAGTGCCTGGTCCTCCAGATTGGCACAAGAAATGGGAACAATGCGGATATAGTCAACAATCCCCAATCAACATTGACAAGAGCGAGGCCGAACACACAGATTTCCCAACTCTGAAAATAATATTTGACAACCCAGGAGGCCTGGTTACTGGAACACTAAAGAACAACGGTCATAATCCGACTCTGGAAATTGATGAGGACAAAGGAACAGGAACACTTGAGGGAGGTGCCGTGGATGGTACTTACACTCTGGAACAGTTTCATGTTCACTTTGGCTGTGAAAACAATCGAGGATCTGAGCACACGGAAAGTGGAAAACGTTATTCTGGGCAGGTAATGGGTTTCTTTGTCAAAAGCAGACCTATCTTGAAGTGTTCCCGATCATGGCGCTGTCCTTTTATTTTCCCTATTTATTTTGAGAATGTCTAACGCAATTAACATTCGGTCAAGTCGCATAAACCCTAGGTTTAAGTGTTACAAATCTAGGACGTAATTATAATTCAGCCAAAAAGGCCAGAAGAGGTTGTGGATGGCAAAGATTGCAATGCGTTGGAAGAACGAAGTTAAGCGCAATGTTTTGCTAATATCAAGCTGAAACTTTTAAGTTGAACGTGAGGGTTGAAGTGAGTACATTAGGCCGTAACTGAGACAGCCCTTTTCTTCTTCTTCTTTTTCCAGCTCCATTTGGTATTTAAGGATGCTGCTGGGGAGACTAGCGTTGTTGCACTGTGGCTTAAGGTATATTGTCCTCTATGTGCGCATACTCCAATCAATTGGCAGCCACTGTTTGGGAGGTCTTTGTAAAACGGCAGAAATAGAATCTGAAAGTGAAAAAAAACTCTAAATATGTTCGCTTGAGCTGAACCAGCACTCCAAATTAGAACCCTTTCCCAGATTATTTTAAAAAAAGATAAGATGACTCATTTAACGTCAAATACACGAGACCTACATGATGTGTAAACTACACCTATAAGTAAAATTGATTGTTCAAGTTTTGAAGGTAATTGTGACATAAAGTAAGAGTATGGTTCATACAAAATGTGTGTAAGGTGGGTGGGTTATATATGAGTGTACAGTTTTAAAAGTTACTCGAAAAAGCAGCAGCTGACTAACGCTCTTGTCGTTTTATCTAGGCCTCTAGTAAAGGTAACAAGATATTAGGAAGGTTTGCCAAATTGCTACCAAAAATAATTGAAGTTGGTATGTAACATTTCTATATATTTACTTAATTCCGATAAGCTGCAATTTCAATTTATCATCATAGCTGGAATGCACGACTTTAGTACATTCATATGCTATCGATCAACTCATCATGTTACCTTTATCTAGTTAGCATTATACTTTCAAAATTCGATTGACTAACAGCTCTTCATTTAAATCTCATTATGGCCATGACTTCCTCACATCTTGCCTTCATCTCAGACATGAACATCGACTATTTTCCTTTTCAGGACTAACTTCCTCTCACTTTCACTCCATATCAGCTCTTGAATTAAACAGTTGTAATCTTTCTTACGAATTTTTTTTGCATGTCGACTCGTCGAATCCATCGCTTTTTG